TCCTCCGGGCGCGCGTTCTGCACAGCCTGCAAGGGGCCGCCGCCGCAGGATCGTCAGGCCCGGCTCGTTTTTGTGCATAAACAGACCTCCCCGTTTCCGAGAAGTGATTCACAGGGAGGTGACATAAAGCGGTGACAGGAACCCGACCGCTCTGTTCGGAAAACCGTCCTCGCACCGAACCTCTGGTTCTAAGAACAGCTGGTCCACGCGTAGTGCAATGTCCGCGGGGATCGCGGGGGCCGGCGTGTGGGGATCTTTCTTCCTTGTGTTCTGATCCGGGCTCTCTCTCTGCGCTCCCTAGATTAAAAAAAAAAAATTTTTTTTAAATAGAAGGAAAAAACGGAAGGAAAGCTTTTGTACATAGGGAGGGGAGGGGACTTGAGAGGGAAATGGGATAAAATAAAATTTAATTAACAGCAGCAACAAAAAGAAATACAGAAAGACCCTAAACTTTTTTGTTTTTATCAGCGGATGTCGGCAGCACATGATCACCCTCGTCAGGGAGCCGCAAACATTAGCCCGGGTAAATGTCTGCCCTGCCTTCCGCCGTCGCAGGCGTATTCTTCACTTCCTCCTGTGTGCAGGGGTGGTGATTTCGGATGACCATGCTGACCGCCGATTCGTTTCCTCGTGCTGCTGCAGTTGAAGGAATCTCCGTCGTTTCCCCCGGTGGCTGGATCCACTCGCATCCCCCAGGGGTAGAAGGACCCCTTTTCTCTGTGCTTCTCAGCAGTGGCTGTCTTTGTCTCTTTGGTACTGGTCATTTTACCTGAAGAGAGGTGATAGATTTCCTTGTGGTTTTGAGTTGCATCTCCCTGATGATTAGTGATATTCAGCATTTAAAAACATTCTTTAATTATATGCATTTCTTGAGAAGTATCTATTAGACCATTTGTTCACTTATAAATTGAATTACTTGTTCTTTTCTATTTTGCTGTCGAGTTCCGTTTCTTGTACGTTTTGGACACAGCCCCTTCCTTGTCCATGAGTGGCCTGCACTCATTTTCTCCATTCTGAAGTCCGTCTCTTTCTTCTGTGCCTTATGTCCCTTGCTGCGCTGAAGCTGTTCAGACTGATGTCCTCCTATTGATCTGTTGTGGCTTTGTGGTCTGTGCTTTTGGGGTCCTCTCTAACAGCTTGCTGCCTGACTTTTCTATGTTTCCTTCTGTTAGTTCCCCAGGGTCAGGTCTCATGTTTGGTCTTTGATCTGTTCTGAGTTGACTTTTGTGTGTGGTGAGGGACAGGGATCTATTTCATTCCTCTGCATATGCATATTATTTTCCTAACAGGTTTTGAAGAGATTCTCTTCTCTAACGTTTGATCTTGGCCATCTTCTCATAAGTGAATTCACTGTAAATGTAAACATATGCACATAAAGTAGATATATTATTTCTGGTCTCTCTATTCGTGTGTGCACATGTGTGTAGTGCCAATCCCATATTGTTTTGAGTTCTCTAATAGTTTTGTAGTACATGTTAAAGTTACTGTTATGCCTCTAGCTTTGTTCTGTTTGCTTGAGATTGCTTTGGCTATTCAAAACCTTTTGAGGATCCATATTAATTTCATTTATTTTTATTTTTATTCTATTTTTTCTCTTAAATTCTTTTATTGGTACATTTTAGGTATACAATACATTTATATTCATTATTGGGAACTTGTACCTTTACATGATGTATCTTGGTTCTTATTTTTTCCCCATCCGCTGCCCTCCCTTCAACCTCCATATGAACTGTAGAAACATTTTTTCTGTGTATGTTAAGCTCATCATTGGAATTTTCATACAGATCACACTGACACTGTAGATGGTGTTGGGTAGTATGGCCTTTTAAAATTTTTTTGGTGCTGGGAATTGAAGTCAAGATCTGTGCTTGCAAGGCAGGCGATACCACTGAGCTATATCCCCAGCCCAGTATGGATGTTTTAACAGGGTTCATTCTTCCAACCCAAGAATTTGATGCCTTTGGATTTATTTGTGTCTCACTTAATTTGGTTAGTCAATATTTTATAGTTGTCAGTTTGTCTTTCACCTGCAAAAGTTTGTAAAGAATTTATTCTTTGGTGGTATTGTACATGAGACTGTTCCCTTAATTTCCTTTTCACATAGTTCATTGTTTATGTATAGAAATGCACTTAGTTTCTTGGGTGTTGATTTTGTGTCCTGTAACTTGCTGATTCTTGTTTTGTGACTCAGCTTGTTGTGTCCTGGAAAATGTTCTGTGTAGCTTGAAGACATTCCACGAGGGTGCTGAGTGCAGCCCCTTGTGATCTCCGGTGCTCTGCAGTGGGCTCTTTCCTTCCAGGTCCTCTGCCAGGTGCCCTACGCATGGCCAAACGTGGGCAATACATCCTGTGATCGTCACCCCTTGTTGCCCTCCCCAGTTCTGCCCATGGCTGCTGCTGCACGTGTTCAGTGCTCTGGTACTGTACGCACGTATGTGTACTCTCTCTGATGAGCTATTTTACCATCATGTAGTGTTTTTCTTTATCTCTTGTGGTAAAGTTTCACTTAAAATTGATGCTTTCTGGTTTGAATGTGACCACTGTCTCCTTGCTTTCCTTTCAGCCTGTGTGTCCGTATTCCAGACTGAGTCTTCATAGGTAGTACCTGGCCGGCTGTGCTTTCTAAGCATCCGGATATGAGCTGCCCTTTCCAGGGTGTTCAGCTGTTTCCAGGTCAGCTGATCATTGAGATGAACGGACTCCTGCAACCGTCTTCCCTCTGTCTGGCAGCTGTGTCTCTGGGTCCTGCTCTCGGGTTTCATCTCTTTATCACACTGATGAGCACCGGATCCCTCCCGTTTTATTTATTTATTTATTTATTTTATCCTTTCGGTTTTAAAGGTATCATTTAAAGGTATTTTCTTTGCAGTTACAGTGGGAGTTATATAAATCTTCTGGTGATAACAATCTATTTTAAGGGGGGGCAGAAATTAACTTGAACTCTATGCAAAATTTCACACTTTAATTGTCTCAATTTTTTTTGAGACAGGATCTCACTATGTAGTTCAGACTGCTCTGGAACTTACTGCATAGCCCAGGCTGGTCTCAAACTTACAGCGATCCTCCTGCCTCAGCCTCCCGAGTGCTGGGATTGCACCACAACACCCAGCAACATTTTGTGTTTTTGATGTCACAACTCACATCTTTTATTTTTATTTATTTTTACCAGGGATCAAAGTCAGGATCGTGCTCTTGCCAGGCAAGCACTGTGCCACTGAGCTAAATCCTCAGCCCCTGCAATGATTTTTTTTTGTGCTTTTTTCTTTTATTCTTTATACGGAATTAAAAGTGGTTAGTGTACCACCATTGAACTGTGTGGTATTCCACATTTTTCTATTTATTTACCCTTTTACTCTCACATACTTCCTTGGTTGCTGGATAGCCTTTATTTTCTTTCAGCTTCCAGTAGCCCTCCGAGACTTCCTGGAAGGCAGATCTAAGGGTGATGAATTTCCTCACTAGTTTTCCACTCATGTGGAAAAGACTTTACCTCTCCTGAATTTCTGAGGACAGCTTTGTTGGGTACTGGACTCCCGTTGACATTTCTTCCTCTCAGCACTTTGCCTGTCCCACGACTTCCTTCTGGCCTGCTGTGTCTGCTGGGAAATTCGCTGAGTCTCACTTGGGCCCCTTGAGCATGGTGAGTCCCTTTTCTTTAGCTTCTTTCAAAATCCTTTGTATTTGACCTTTGACTGATTGTAATATGTCTAGATGTAGCCTTTTGGGGATTCATTGTAGTGAGATTCAGTGCACTTTTTAAAGTCTTGTCTTCTTCCTACTCCAGTTTTGGGAAATTTGGGCCATTTCCTGATTTTAATCTGCTTTTCTGGTTAGTTTTATGACACAACTGTAGTCACCCTGTGGTGTCCTATAAGTACCTTATGCTTTCTTCTTTCTTTTTAATCCCCATTCTTCTCATTGTTTGACTTCAAAGGCTTTTGACTTCAAGTTTGCTGAATCTTTCATTTGTTTGATTGGTCTCCTTTTGGACCCCTCAGTGAAATTTTCATTTAAGTAACCGCTTTCTTCAGTTCCCAGACATATTTGGGTCTTTTCAAACATTTTCTGTATTTTTTTAAACCCTCACTTTGTTCATGCATCGTCTCTTGGCCGGCTGTGCATTTCCATGGTGGCCATTTCGAGACCTTTGTCAGATAACTCTAACCTCCCTTTATTTACCATACCCGGAGAATTTGCTTTCCCTGCTCTAGGGCTGTTCTCCCATTTCCTCATCTTCGCTGTGACTTTGCGTTGACTTAGTCCATGCCTTAGAGAAAGAAAGCAAAACCCCCGAAGGGAGCAGGCAGGACGCCAAGCAGATTCTCCCCGTCTAGCCCGAGTGGCCGGTTTGCCCCGGCTCCTGCGCAGGCGCCTCACTTGCGGAGTCGCCTGGTCTCCTGCGCCCCCTGGCGTCTTTCCAGGGTACCACCCCCCGCCCCGCCTGCCACGGTCCCCAGGTGTCCGCAGTGTGTCCCCGAAAGCGTACAAAACATTTCAAGTCTTGAGCGTCGCTGTAAAAATTTATCCACATTTTTGTCAGAGTGTCCTGTGAACGTGCTTCAGTTTGCTCATCAGTTCATTATTTAAATGTCCCTACTCCAGCCTCCAGTGGTGTGGGTGCTTCCTGGGAGCTCTCCCTGGTAGGATCTCACAGCTTTGGACTGAGCCCCCGGCCCTACGCTGAGCGGCTGAGAACAGGCGTCCGACCCGTGTGTGGTGGTGGTGGGTGCCCTGGATGGCATCAGTGGGCAGAACCTGGATTCCCAGGCAGAAGCCACAGGGTCGTGTTCCTCCCTCTTTGGCTCTGCCAGTCTTTCCTGGTGCCTCAAGCTCCCGAGAGATGAGTGCGACTCTTAGGGAGCTGCAGATTTCTTTCACACTTGTTTCGAGAGACCTGGAAACTTTTTCAGTGATCTTTTAAAAAAATTTAAAAAAACCCACAGTCTTTTTAAATTTTTAAAAAATTTTGAGCCAGAGTCTCAGTAAGTCACAAAGTTGCCCAGGTTGGTATTGAACTTGAGTCTTCCTGCCTCAGCCTCCAAAACTGCTGGCATCACAGTGTTATAGGGGGAAAGGATAGATATAACTCCCAAACCTGCCCAGCAGTCGTACATTTTATTTTATATTTATTTTTTTATTTTTGGTTTTTTGAGACAGGGTCTCACTATCTAGCTGAGACTGTCCTGGAACTCACTACGCAGCCCAGGCTGGTCTCGAACTCACAGGGATCCTCCTGCCTCAGCCCCCCAGGTGCTGGGATTACAAGTGTGCTCCACCACACGCTGCTGATCGTACATTTTAATACGGCTCCTGTTCCTAAAATGGTTCCTACTTACAGAAATGAACCACTTGGCGGCGGGGCGGGGGAGTAAAACGTACCCTTTTTGGAGGAGGAAAACCGAACTTGTTGCTCCACCCTGCTACTCACTTGATCATCCCCTACCAATCATCTCGAGTCCTGTTGCCTGGCCAACAACCTGACCAATTCTCAACTCTCACCACTGCGCTGCCCTACATAAACCTCACCCCAGTTAGTCTTGCCCTCTCTCAACATTGTTTGAAGCTACTCTCCAGTTCTTTCCCCCAATAAAGCCTTGTTTTGGGTGCTCCTGTTTTGGCTCGTTTTCTTTCACAACGTATCCAAAACTCGAGTTCATGTTCTCTAAATCAAAGAATGAATTCTAGGAACAATGGAGTTAAGCATAGGAAAAATTGGACCTGGTATTTAGCTCAGTGGCTCCACACCTGTCTCCCAAGAGCAAGGTCCTGAGTTCCATCCCTTGTACCCCCGCCAAAAAAAAAAAGTAGGAAAAATTTATTGAGAGACAGAGAGCTTCTAGATCTGGGTGTGGTGGTGCACGCCTAGAATCCCAGCACTTGGGAGGCTGAGGCAGCAGGATCACTGCGAGTTTGAGACCGGCCTGGGTTACATAGTGAATTCCAGGGCAGTCTGAACTACATAGTGAGACACTGTCTCCAAAAAAAAAGAAGTCTAAGAGATACTGAAGGGGGACAGGAAAGTGGGTTGTCCAGGACCCTATTTCCCAGGGGGGGTTTATGTTGTAAAATCAAGAGGTGAGGCGGGTTCAAGGTGGGACAAAACTGTAAAACCCAATGGAAAAATACAAACTGGGCACAAGGTGGGGCAAAACCATGATCAACCATTAAGATTACAGCCAGGCAATACTGATTAAATGGGAATCAAATGGGAATACGACTCACATACAAGGAATTTCCCACTTAGAATATTAATCACTGCTATCTGTCTCTAGGGGAAGTAGTACCTCTTTGCCTTTTAAAAATAATTCTATGTACCCTAATGGTATAATTGACAATGTGAAATAGGAAGAAAAGGGCGGTGTAGGGGAAGTGGGAAGGGTAGGGGAAAGGAAAGAAGGGAAAAGAAAAAAGATGAGAAAATAAAAAAATGGAAATAAAGTCTTTATAAATAGGGAAGGGAGGAGGATGTGAAGGGAGGGCAGGGACAAGGGGAAAAAATGAGAACCAAGACCTGTCATGTGAAGGTACAAGATCCCAATGATGACTGTAACTGTACTGTATACCTAAAATGTACCAATAAACTCAATGAGGAAAAAATAAAATAATGCTAACCAGTGAATGTGCCTCCATGTTGGCTCCTTGAGGCCTGGTGCCTCTGCCTGCAGGATATCTAATGAACTTACCTGTCTACAGTAATAGGTCCGCAGCTCCGCACGCCTCGTGGCCTCTTCTGTTGTGTCCACCTTCAAGCGAGTCGCCCAATCATCGCCAACGGCACGGAAGTTGGTCTCCAGCACTCAGTGCGGGGATGGAGGGGAAACTGAGCCTGTGCCCAGGGAGCAGGTCTCTGCTGAGGCATCAACCCCAGCGCCAGTGTCCCTGGGGTGACAGCATCTTCACACTTGCTCTGTGAGGCCTTCCCGGCCTCTCACGCTGCTTCATTGAGCTCTGACCACCTAGGCCATCACTGCAAAGCTGCAGACCATCACTCTTTCTCCGGGCGGGAGATCCTGTGCATGCGCCTCGCACGACTGTCCAGAAAAAACCCTCTGTGCCTTGGTGCTGGGACAGCAACTACTTTCTCATATTTCTTAAATAAACCTTACAGCGCTGTAAAGCCTTCCTCAGAAACCTGCAGAAAGCCTTCCGCAGTTTCCTTTTCTCCTGATTTTCATGTGTTTATTGTCATTTTCCAGGGTGGGTTCTGTTATTGTTTGGCACACACAAGGCAGGAGGGTTTGAAACAAGCTGATGGTAATGAACCCGAGGCAGGGAGGAGGAAACGTGGCACGGAAAGCAGCGGCCAGCGTGGGCCTCAGTGGGGAGCTCGGCTCCCCTGGCTGCTGGGGACGGCGATGGGGCGAGGTTGGTGCCGCCTCTGACAGCCCAGTCCTCGCAGGAGCCGAGCCAGAGCTGCCAGGGCGCCTCGTGGGGCTCTGCACATCACACGCTTTGTTGTGCACAAGCACACTTCCGTGTTGCCAGGATCTTGGAAGCTGCCCACAAATGCTAGTGTTGGAATGACCTTGAGGTGCTCGCGCGTGTGTGAGGGCCGCAGCCAGGGCCTCCCACTGCTGAGGGAGCGCTGAGCTGAGCGACACTCCAGCCCTCCAACTTTTTGTTAGTCTTTTGTCCTTAATATCGACTGTATTTACATTATCTTTTTTTAAAATAAGAGAATGCGCTATATTCATCTGTACCATGGAACCTAGCAGAGTCCCACCGCCATGGCAGATCTGCTGCTCTGGAGTCAGCCAGCATGGGAATCCTTTCTATACAAGGAAACCAAGAGAAGAAGCATCAACCATGATCACAAAAGAAGAAAGCAACCCACTGCCTTCTTGGCATATTTTGCAAAACTCATACAAACCTCATGGAGATTGAAATCCGTGAACGTTCATTTATTATAAGTAAGACAAGCATATATTTCAGCATCACAGTCTGTAAACTTAGGAGTAATGAGAAAGGAAGGAAGAAGCTTAAAAAGAGAGAAGTGGGAGAAAAGCAGAGGAAACCTAGGAGGGGGAAGGGAAAGAGCAAGGAATTAGAAATAAATCAAACCAGCAGGTGCTTATGAATAGGAGTTGTTTGAGCATCTGTGGACAGCACCTGGTCTCTCAGAAGTGTAGCTTTGGATCTGACTCCAACTGTGGTGGGGCTGGCAGATGCTGTGGCCACATGGGGGGAGGGGTTTGGTGGGATTCTGGCTCTCCCCCAGCTTCCCGGTCCTTACTGTGTGGCCATGGACTCCCTGGTGCGCACCCGTGCTCTCCGCGGCTGACGAGGGCCACAGCGGGGACAGCCACGCCCGCACAGCCCACAGGTCCGTGCCAGGAGCCTCTGGAGGGCGCCCTTCACATCCTTGTTCCTCAGCGTGTAGATGAAGGGTTTCAGCATGGGGGTGATGATGGCGTAGAAGAGGGCGACAAACTTGCCCTGCTCCTGCGAGTAGCGGGAGGGCGGCTGCAGGTACATGTAGATGGCGGGTAGGTAGAAGAGGGACACGACAGCCAGGTGGGATGAGCAGGTCCCCAGGGCCTTGTGCCGGCCTGAGGGGGCCCGGATCCTGAGCACAGAGCGGGCGATGAGTCCATAGGACAGCAGGATGAAGGCCAGGGGCACCAGCACGAAGAAGGCTACCAGCACTGCCAGTGTGGCATCATTCGCGGCCGTGTCAGCGCACGACAACTTGATCATGGCCGGCACCTCACAGAAGAAGTTGTTCAGCACACGCTGCCCACAGTAGGGCAGCTGCACGGTCAGTGCCACCTGCACCAGGGAGTTGCCGAGGCCACTGAGCCAGGCCAGGGCCACCAGGCGCCGGCAGAGCGCACAGTGCATGATCAAGGTGTAGCGCAGTGGCCGGCAGATGGCCACGTAGCGGTCCAGGGCCATGGCAGCCAGCACCACGCACTCCGTGCAGCCCAGCCAGTGGAAGACAGTGTACTGCACCGAGCAGCCCCCAAAGCTGATGGTCTTACAGGCCGTGCCCATGTTGACCAGCATCTGTGGCACCGTTGTGGTGGTGTAACAGAGGTCCAGGAAGGACAGGTGGCGGAGGAAGACATACATGGGGCTGCTGAGGCGGGGGTCCAGCTGCGACACCAGGATGATGGAGATGTTCCCCAGCATGGCCAGGACGTAGGACACCAGAAGCACCACGAAGAGGGGCAGCTCCAGCCAGGGGCGGTCAGAGACGCCCAGGAGGACGAAGTTCTCAGGGGGACGCTCGGGGAGGCTTTGGTTGTGCCCCCTCATGGTGCGGCATCATGGGCCCCTGCAAGGGTGGGACAAGCAGGGCAAGAACCTGCTGAGGTGCAGTCAGCTGTCCCCAGTCCTGACGCGAAACCCGCCTGGCCTTGGACCTGGCCGTGACCTCCAAGCCACTCAGTTCTCCTAAACTCCTGCTCCTGCCTTGTCGAAAGGAGAGGGGTTGCTCCCTTCTGCTGCCGAATCTGGGGCTGGCAGAGGAACTGCACGTTGGCAAAAGCCCTGTATGCTGAGGTTGTCTGTGACACTGACCGAGGCACGGACAACCTCAGCTGTCAGGCTACGCTTGCTGCCTCTGGGGGTAGTGGAGGCGAGGGGCAGGGACACCCAGAGCAAGGCTTGGTGACGGGGAGCAGGGGCTGCAGAATGGCCAGAAGCTTCCCTTGGTGCTGTGTGGCAGGACAGAGGCCCCGGGTCCAAAGAGGATGAGGGTTTTGTCTGGAGTCCATGGCTCCCTATCCTGCCAGCTGGGGTTCTCCGCGCCGTGCTTTGCCCTGGTGAGGGGCTGGGGTCTGAGGAGAGACTGTGGGGGGCAGGACACTCTGGGACCTCTAAGTTCCCCTGCTACGGAAACCTCTCTGGGGCTGGCAGTCTCTAGGTGCCCCCACCCTGGGGCCTCCTGGCCCTGTCTTCCATCCAGGCCCTATCGGGCTCTGTGTGCCTCGTGACTAGGACGCAGTGCTGTCTAAGTGTGGGGATGAGACCCAGGTCCTGGGATCCGGCCACAGCCCTCTCCAGGGGACAACGGCCTTAGCGCTCTGGGTTCCTCGTGACTAGGCCGCAGGTCTAAGTGTGGGGATGAGACCCAGGTCCTGGGATCCGGCCACAGCCCTCTCCAGGGGACACGCTCCAAGCCTGGCTGCCCTACTGGCTTGGACACACAGGAGACACGCGCTGTGTGATGTGGTCACCATCCTGGCTTTCCTGCCTCCATCCTCCAGTGCAGTCTGGGGTGCGTGCTGTCCCTGTCCGGAGGGGACCAGCCAGTCAGTCCCTCAGCCTCCTCACCACGCAGAACCTGCTTTCGGACTGTGGCGGCTGCAGCCTGTGGCAGTTGTGCTGGGGACGGAGAATGCGTGGTGGCGCCTTCACCTGCCTGGCCCTGTCCGACCAGGAGCAGGGTCTGCCTGGGGTGGCACGGGGGACCTGCACACGGCTGCAGCCCAGGGCCTGGAGACACGGTGGAGTGGGTGAGGTCGCTCATATAACGCGGCCCGTGTCCTTCCTGCTCTGCTTGGCTGCCCCTCAGGAAGTCCCCAACCCCAGTGCTCCTCGAGCTGCCTCTCTGGCTCGTCCCTGTCCCTCGACACCAGGCTCCCCAGCTGCTGCCTAGTGAGCGTCTGAGGCCACCAGGGCTCAATTAACAAGGGTACTGGAGACCCTGGGCCAGCACCAGTTAGGGCTGCAGTGAGCCTGGAAGTTGTTTTCCCTCCAAGGTTGGAAGGGTCACTGTGAGGACAGGGAGGGACACTGAGGCAGAGTGCGGCCCACCTGGAGCCCCGACCTGTCTCTGGCTGCCTGTGTGACCCTGTGCGCTCACCGTATCTCTGGGCTGCCCTGCAGCACTGCCGCAGGGCAGAGGCCTCGTTCTGCCCCCAAATGCATTAGGTGGTGGCTGAGCAGGTGTTTGCAAAGTGCTTTCTACTACTCCCTGCCTTGGGCGCCTTCCTCACCTGTCACATGGGGGAGAAGTGTTTGGGTGAGGACTGAGCCCCCAGCCGGCAGACTGGCTCCCTAGGAACAGAGGCCCCAGCAGCAGCACCTTCAGCCCGTGCTGCTCTCTAGCCTGGCTGGGCCTCAGGGCCCCAGTCTGTGGCCCACAGGGTGTGGGACCCGCTTCCCCCTGGACCTTCTGGAGGGTCTGGTCTGGAAATTTCTGGGGCTGCCTCCCCAGAGGTGGGGAGATTGCTCTTGGGTGACCGGGAGCTCCCATCCTTGGAGCACCTTAGGAGTCCCCTCATATCTAGCTCTAGCAGGGACAAGTTCTGGGAGCATCTGTGAGGTTGGAGAAAAAAAAATACAATCTGTTGTTTTGTTTTATTTTGAGACGGCCTTTCACTATGCAGCCCAGGCTGGCCTCAAACTTATGGTGATCCTCCTGCTTCCGGCTCCTGAATGCTGGAATTACAGGCGTGCACCACTGTACCGGCTTGAATCCGTGTTTCAGGTTGAGAAAACGCTGGTTTAGTTGTGGATGGAAATGTCACAAAGGACACTGATATAGTGTCTTGCTGGTACCCAGAAAATGGTCATCTGTTCCTCTCAGAAGGAAGATATCAAGGAAACCATTGCCGTAGCAGCGAACGGTGATGAGAAGAGTCAGGACCAGAAGAGGTGCTGAGCAGGCACGCAGCCTGGCTTTGAGAAGCGCCCTGGAGGGTGCAGGCCCTGGGATGTGACCTCCAAGCTGCCATTGTCATCCGTCAGTTACAGCCACCTGGGACGGCCCGGGTGGGTCCTGGAGGCGGAATGTCCTTCACCTCTGGGCGGTGCCTGTCTGTGCAGTTCATGGCTGTGGCGCAGCACAAAGGATCAGCGATCACTCAGAGTCAAGGTCCAGTTCGGACTCCATGAGGGTCCAGAGGGGCTGCCTGCACCGAGGCCCCTCAGGCTGACGGTCTCCCACGGACAGGCCGGACTCAAGCTTCTGTGGCTTTTGACTGATAGAACCAGGAAGCAAGGATGGAGGACGCAGGAAGGGTGTTGGTGCAGGAATTCCTGTAGGCGGGAGGAAGGAGGGGATGGCCAGGGTGTTCTGCTATGTGACCGACCCCAGAGGAGCACCCACTCCGACTGTGCTGTGTCTGATCCCACGGGGACCTGTGGCCCTGCAGGCTCTTTTGCTCTCTGTATTCGGGAGAGAGGTTTGGGTCCCTTCCTCTGCATATCCGTCTCCAACACCCCTGAACGTTTTGACCCTGCCCCATCTTCCACAGGACGCGCCGGCTGTGTGGCAGTGGCGAGTGTGGTGGCCCTGCAGTGTCCTCCGCTGGCCCGGCAGGGCACTGTCCCAGGAGTCTCTAGGACACACGTGGCTGAGGTCCTCCTTCCGGATACAGAGGATCGGACCTCAGCTCTGACATTCGCCCCACCCACCTGGCTAGACCGGCGCTCCCGCTTCAGGTCCTGGAGTTCTATTCATCCGTGATGAAGTCCTCAGACTCCGCGCCTGGGTGAGCAGCCTTCTCGGCTGTGTCCCCACCCCTGCCAGGTCTCCGACGTGGCTTGAGGTCGGAGAGAAGGGTGAAGCACAGCTTCCATAAAAATGTTGTGAGAATAAAACTTGATTTACAAGGCTTTGTTTTCAGGTTAGCCAAACAGGAAAAATGAATGGAGGAAAAGCCTCACATCGTAAGATTGGGGGGTGAGGAAATATAAATGCAGATTTAAAACAAAGAATAAATGAGAAAAGGAGGGCAAAAGGGCTAAACAGTACATTCCAGAGTCTGCCCCCGTGATACCCGACAGCGCATTGTACTGTGCGGAGCACTAGCGTAGGAAGGGTTTCAGGGTCGTCTGAGAGCAGGGTCGGCGGCGGGCAGCGGCTCTCCGCTGAGGGCGTCCAACCGCGCGGCTTCCCCAGAGGCCTGATCTACCACAGTGTCAGACATGGCATGATGAGCCCAGAGCGGGGGCTGTGCGGAGGGACAGCCAGGCGCTTCTTTGCGGGACCTGACAGCAGCTGGTCACCCTCTCACAGGTCGGTAGGCCCAGTGAAGAGTGGCTTTCCAGTGACACACGGAGTTGTAGTTCGGCACATCGGTGGGAGGCCTTTAAATAAGGTGGCGCATGGCGCTTTTAAAAATAAACATCACCGTGTATATTTAAGGTGTGCAAGAAGAGGTTATGAGACTCGTGCAGTAAGGTGGTCTCCCTCTGTCTCTGTCTCTCTCTGCCTCTATTTCTGTCTGTCTTTTTCTCTCAGATTCCCCCTGTAGGGGAGGAAGGTCATGCCCTGGTTTTCCTTCTGTCTCTGGTCTGTTCTCCAAGTCCACCCATGTGTGGCATATGGAAGGCTCCCTTCTGGTCCGGGAGGCCGATCAAGGCTCTGCACGGGGTCTCCCTGCCCCTGTGCACTCCTCCGTTGGGACTGTTCTGCATCCTGGCTGGTGTGCGCAGTGCCATGCAGATGATTCATGGCTCTCCTTCAGGGCTCACCCAGGAGAAGATGTGCCGGGCCCGGTCACAGAAGCTGTTTCCACATCCCGGGCTTCCAGGGTGACCTGGATGGGGCACTAATCTGTACTGTACCCAGCCACAGTGGACAAGGCCCTCCTGACACCCTCGCTGACTTCTGTGCCCTCTTGACTCAGACGCCTCACTCTGGAAACTCAGGCTCCCTGGTTCCACACACTTCCCTCTCAGAGAGAAACCCTGCGCTGGTCTGTAGAGCAACTTCCAGGACTGCTCAGTTCCTCCTGAGGGGTCTTCAGGCCCGTCACACTCTTCCCCTCTCTTGGAAAACAAAGTGGTATTAAACAGCCGAGATACAGGTTAGCAGGATTCTCCCGCACCCTTTCCTTCCCAAGTGACAGCTGGAACGCACCGTGTCTTTCGGATTCCTGGAAATAGCACACTTACTTGCTCTTTGATGAAACTTTCTCCCTGAAACTCATCCAAATGCCCTAATGGGTTCTGATTCATGCCAGGGTGATGGAATTGTCTCAGTGCAGGAGACCGCGGTGTGACCTGTGTGTGTATTCACCGAGTTGTTGGGAAGGCCTGACAGCAAGAGATCGAAGGTGATCCGGACGTGCACTTGCGGTGTCCCAGGCACTCCCTGCTCCTTGTGCATAAGGGATGAATGACTCCCTGAGAATGTTTATTCTGACTTATGCTTGCCAGAGCTTGGCTCCAGAAACAAAATTTACTGCTGCCATGTATAACCTCTGCAGTGCTTTAACTTCTGTAAGGACGAACGTAGCCTATGACCAGCGACATGTAGCAGCTCATTGTGTAGGGTATGGAAAGAGGAAAAAACAAAGGTG